ATCTGGAACAGTTATTCTGGGTGCCAGTCAGAATTCCTTCAGGAAGACACTAGAAAAAACAATCTTTGAAAGTACCTTAAACCAAAGAGAAGTTCATTTCTGTCTGAGGCAGTCAGGTCAGGTTGGTGTGCACACCACAGAATTTTAGTAGGCCCAATGTCTCCCCACAGTCGAGCACAAGCCTCACTTTAATTACCAGAGATGGCTGCCGGAGCTCCAGCCATCACGACTGTATTCCTTTCACGGAAGGATGTTGGAAAGAGAAGATTAAATAGGTTCTTTCCTTCTCAGGGAAGAAAGGAATGCTGCACTAAGCTTCCTCCTAGATTTTACTGGCAGATAACTTGTCATCACCCTCACCACAAGGGAACCTGGGAAACACAATATCTACTGTGAGATATAAAGTTGATTTATTTTTACCGAGAAAAAACAGAATACAGGATATGGAAGGAAGTTTAACTTCTCAGTCATTCTAAAATTTTTTAAAGTATTCTTTTTTCTCTCCCATCTCTGGTTCCTCTATCTCCTTCTGTTTCTCAAACAGTTATTAAGGGTTTCTATAAACTCAACTCTTTCTAATTACACAGGGAGGAGGGCACCCAGGAAGCTAGAGTGTGACTATCCTGGGTAATTTTGTATCAACTTGCCACAAGCTAGAGTCATCTGAAAGGAGGGAACCTCAACTGAGAAAATGTGTGTAGAGTATTTTCTTAATTAATGCTTGATGGGAAAGGGTCCGGCATGGTGGGTGGTGCTCTGGCCTGCTGGTGGTCCTGGGTGCTATAAGAAAGCAAGCCGAGCAAGCCATGGGGAACAAACCAGTAAGCAACACTGTCCATGGACCCTGTATCAGCTCCTGGGTCTCCAGGTTTCTTCCCTGGTTAAGTTCCTGCCCTGACTTCCACAGATGATGCAGAGTGAATTGGAAGTGTAAGCCAAATAAGCTCTTTCCACCCCAAGTTTCGTTGGTCATGGTGTTTTGTCACAATAGTAACCCTAGCTACGACAGCAGACCACTAAGGAAGTGTGCTTCATCACAATAGTAACCCTAGCTACGATGACAGTGGACCACTATGGAAGTGTGCTTCATCACAATAGTAACCCTAGCTACGACAGCAGACCACTATGGAAGTGTGCTTCATCATAATAGTAACCCTAGCTATGACACTGGACCACTATGGAAGTGTGCTTCATCACAATAGTAACCCTAGCTAGACAGTGAACCATTATGGAAGTGTGCTTCATCATAATAGTAATCCTGGCAACGACGGTGGATCACTATGGAAGTGAGCTTTATCATAATAGTAACCCTGGCAATGACAGTGGACCACTATGGAAGTGTGCTTCATCATAATAGTAACCCTGGCAATGACAGTGGACCACTATAGAAGTGTGCTTCATCATAATAGTAACCCTAGATACGACAGTGGACCATTACGGAAGTGTATCCAGGGATAGAGAGATGTGGTCAGAGGGATCCCATCACACTTAGTGTGATGTCAATTTGAGTTGCTAATTGATTTGATTAAGGACGTCAGTCTCCCCAGCATTAGTGAGGCTCACCTCTGGTCATGCCCCTGATGGCCTTGAATGTGGGCCATATGAACCATAGTCGCAGACTGAACAAATTGAGGAGAGAAGAAAGCCATCTTAACATCTGCACTCATCTCTCTCTGCTTTCTGACTTCCAGGACCCGCTCACTGCCCCACACAGTTGCTGCACTTTTTCTGCCATGATAGACTCTTCCCCCTCAAGCCCTGAGCCAAACCACACAGCTCCTGCCTCTGGTTGCTGCTTGAAGGTATTTGGCCTCTTGGGGAAGAACAGGTAAATTCCTGAGATGATCTACTTTTCAAAAAATGATGTTTCCTGACTTAAATATTTTTAATGCTTTTACATTTACTCATCTTTTATTTTGGAGCAAAGATTGTGTCTGATATGAGAAGACCCGGGAGCCTTTGGATTGTACCAGCCAACCTCTGCTTTGTCAACGGTTCTGAGCTTAGAGGTGATCAGTTTGATGCTTTGGGAGTGTTCTAACCTGTGAGTCTAATTGACAATGTGACCCCTGCATGAGTTCACAGTGAAAACTCTCTGACTTATGATTTGCTCTGAGCTCTGTTCTTTCTAGCTACTTGATGGAAATGCAGTCTAAATATTTTATCAATACCTCCAATCAATATATCAAGTAATAAATGTCCAGTATACCTCCTAAATCAGCTCCTGTCCCAGAAGTTCCAGTTACCAGATATAAAGTCATAATCCTTTCCTTCTTCCTACTTAGGCTTACTTGAGGGTCATGGCCCATATGTACCCCAGGACAGCACAGAATGAGCCCAACACATTTATGGGTGATACCGTCCTGCGGCCATGTCAAAAAGCTAGACACTCCCACAAGATCCACTCCATCCGTCTCTTTTATTATTGTGTTTCCAAATCAGTCTTTCTGCTTCCTGTCTTGACCACTAACCCATGTGGTGATCTGAGTAAGAATAGGCCCCATAGGCTCATACATTTGAATGCTTGGTCATCAAGGAGTGGCACTACTTGCCAAGGATTAGGAGGTGCAGCCTTGCTGGCATAGATGTGGTTTTATTGGAAGAAGTATGGGGGTGGGTTTTGAAGTTTCAAGCACCCAAGCCAGGCCCTGTGTCTCTTTCTCTTCCTGATGCTTTTGGATCCAGTTGTAAAACTCAGCTGCCTTTATAGCGCTGTGTGCCTGGAGAGCTGCCCGCGTGCTACCATGCTTCCTGCCATGGGGATAATGGACCAGACCTCTGGAAGAGCAAGCCCCAGTTCAGTGCGTTCTTTTATAAGAGTTGCCTCGGCCATGGTGTCTCTTCGCAGCAAGAGAACACTGATTAAGACACCTTCCAAGATAACAGCTTTCTTATAGCACATGGGCACCTACAGTTCTATTAGGGAGATATGGCAAAAAAATATAACTAAATAAAAAGTGATGAGATAGAGACTAGCAGGTGTGATAGATGAAAACCATAAACCGTTTCAGACTGTATTCGTCACCTGGCCTGCTGTCGTGACTAAATACCCCACAGAGCAACAAGAATGAAAGGCTTCATTCTCATCACAGCTTGGAAGGACCAAACCCACGGGAGTTCAGTAGTCCTGAAGGGAGGCAGCTCGAGGTGTGTGACAGGGAGAGTGTGAACCTGAGTCTCCGTGGGCAGGGACGCAGGGAGAGGCGGGAGCTGGTGCTTGACTGGCTTTCTGTTTTCCCGTTTTCATTTAGTCCTGGCCCCCACGTCATTAAATGGTGCACCCACATTCCAGAAAGGCCTTTCCTCCTTAATTAATCCTCTCTGAGGAGCTGTCACAGACACATCGCCGTGTGTCTTCTCCATGTTTATGAATACAATCAATTCATAATTAAACTTGACTGTCACACAAACTCCAAAAAGAACAGAGTCTCCTACACATATTCTGAAATGGTTCTTACTCCAGCCTTGGGAAGCACTGTGAGGGAAAAGGGAAGACTGTGATAGCCCTTAATTATATTTATATTCTTTTAAGGTTTTAATTTCTTTCTCAAAGAGACCACAGCTTCAATACTATGGGGAAAACCTTTGCTTACCAGGAGTAGAAAAGGCTTCTGGTCCTGTGACATCGTGTTCTCTTGCCTCAGTCCTCAAGTTCAAATCCTGCCTCATTTGCAAACTCAACAGCTTTGGCCTCCCAGGGAAGGATATGAGTTGGCTCTGTGCAGTCTCTAAATCTTAGGGAAGGGAAGCCAAGTTTTGTTCTGTTGCATTCCAGAGCCTCAGGCTAGGCTAGGTAAGTAGAGCCATAAGAAGCAGCACTAAGCCATTCTCCCCAAGTCTTGGAATCACTGTGGCTGGCTGTGAGGTCAGGAGGTAGAATGAGCTAAAACTTGGCTTGCAAAGGAGCCAGGAATGTCTCTGCTAAACTCCTTAAGGGTCTCCAGAGAAGACCAGGCAGGTTGAATAGACATCTTAAGGATTCCTGGACAGAATCCCACCTCTCTAAGATGTTATGAACCCTGCACCAAGGAATTCTGTGATAGAAAAATGCTGGGCTCAGCTTCTGGAACCTTGAGTCTAACTGGCTCTCAGAGTCCAGCTGGGTGACATTGGACTCCATCACGTCTAATCTTCTCACCCTCACCCTCCCCTACCTCTACCTCACCCCCAGCTTCCCCCTCTCACCTGCCTGCTCCACTTAAGTTTCTACAACTGTGGAATCTGTGTTTTGAACCTGATGTTCTCACTCTGGGAAGGAGAACAGGACTCTTCTCACAAGTAGGCTACACAAGATCATGTTTTTCCAGAACAGGAGTCATAAATATAACCTGTCATCTCACAGGTGTTCCAGCATCCTTGCCCATGATGAACATGGATCCTGCTTCATGCTTCAGAGCATCAGTGGTGGCCACCACCACATTATCGGCTTCAATGTCTTTGATTTAAAAATTTATGTTTCATTTCCTCTCTTACTTATGGAAAGGGTATGATTTTGCAAAATCATATCTATATCCTTCTACATAGGATATCTGCATATCTCTTTAAATGCTAAAAGTATTTAGAAAACACAAAAGTAATACCTGTTATGAGTGTCATCTTTTGGGATAACCAGTAGTCGCTTTTTGGTGATGTAAGGTTGTTTGTTTGGTTGGTTGTTTGGTTGGTTGGTTGATTTGGTTTGGTTTTGAGAAGCCCATTGTCTGAGCGGTTAGCCCCGGGAATCATGCACTGCCAAGTCTTCAGTCTCTCCCTCATCCTCCCTGCGTGTGTGGACACTGGGCCTGCTCATGGGTTACTCCTAGAGTTGGCATAAATGGGCCCACAGACATCAAATCTTAGTACTCAGGGGCTGAAAAGCTTTCTTGGATCCATCACCCAGACTCAAGGAAGAAGAAACATCCATCAGCCATAGCTCTTGATGGAGATGGGGTGCTCTTGGCAAGAGTAGCATGAGACAGCACTGGCCTCACAGTTCCTATGGTCATGGAATCTACCCGGTGTTATCTCAGAGACCGTCATATTAGAGCTGAGAAGAGCATGGGGGCGGAAGAAATGACAGGCACAGCGTGGTCAGCGAGCATATGTGTACATCTATTGGGATTCCATTTGACAACAGCCACCCACCATGAAATCAAGCGCAACCATTGGATCTGGATTATCACAGACAGGTGTGTAAGGGACATTTTGAAAGGCAGAAGAGTTCGTATGCCATAAATTAAAAGCAACTATTTAACAGAGTCAGCTCATGTTTAACCTTGGTAGTAGGAACAAGGAACAAAATCCCAATAAATTATACCATCTAAGCATTTCTAAATCCCCAAATTAACTTAGTCATTTTGTAATGTAATATGTGGCTTTAATCTAAAAAAAAAATAAGAGTCTTTGGGTCTAGTCAATTTTGGTAATTTTCTTTTCTTTCTTTTTTTTGCATTTTTGTAATAAAGTTTAAAATAGAAATAGTTTTTTCCCCTCTGTATGTGGCTTAGGTTTGTACTTTAATGAATTTTCATCCATGAGAGAATTCTGATTTAAAGTAAGGTAAATCTGCTGGGAACAGAATGAGAATAAATAAATGGGTCTTTAAAACATATTTTCTGGGGAAATAGACAATAAAAAAGTTTTGTGGTCAAAAATAGAGTTGCCTATATTTGGAGAGAAAACACACACAGGTATCCTACCCTATAATGAAATCTGCGGAAAGGGACACGGCCACTCCACGGCTCTGCACATTCATAAGAACAAAAGCAGTCTGAAAGACGCTGTTCATGCTGACTGGGAACATGCGGGAGGATGGTCTATGAGGATGCTCTGATTCTGGGAGGACGTGTGGGAAGTCTACTTGACAGCAAGGATGCTCTGACCTGGGGTCTACAAAACCTCGTGCTTCTCTCCTGACTGGGGACCGTGCACCACTCCCTTTGTGTATCCGCCTTGAAAGCTCATGGTCGTTTGCGTCACTGGTTGGGATGGCATAAGAAAATAATGCACGTGAAGAACATGGAGGGGAGATGTTGGTGAGGCCAATGGATCTATAAACAAGATATATATATATACAAGTTTTCCTTTGTCCATGAACCACACAGTTGCTAAGTTCACTGCAGTGGTGGTGGCGATGGTGGTGGTGGTGATGATGGCGGTGATGTGGCGGCAGTGATGGCGGTAATGGCAGTTGTTATTTTCTATTCAAATAGTTAAAAGCATATCGTCCACATATTATCTGATTGATTTTGAAACAATCCAAAAAAGTTTCTTAAGTATTACCCTTGTCTTCAGAAGGCTCATCTCAGGCCTGTGTAGACAACCCAATCAAAGCTGGGCCTCTAAGGAGGCACGTTACCAAACGGGTAAAACTTTTATAAGTCTGTGGGGCCACTAGAGCCCCCTGTTGGGCCAACCTCTTTTTCTTGAGCGTTCAGGCTGTGCCACTGACATGCAAGCCTTCATTCACACCGAAGAGTAGAGAGGTGGTGATTTCTCCCAGGTCACCTTCGTTTTAAAAGAGAGCAAATCTTAATCCCCAGAATCATGACCAGGCCAAGAGTCAGGCACAGTGACTAAGAAATCTTTCTCCCAGTTATACCACTCTGGCAACCTCATCAAACGGGCTTGTTGAACTGAAACCCCTCGCGTTTGAGAGCTGGAGAGAATGGGAAAGTGATGCTGACCTTCAAGGTCTCTATGCTCCATAAGCCCAGGACTCAAGGGGAAGCATAGTGGTCCAGACCATAGTAGCTGAGAGATGGAGCCGCAGCATCTGTTAGCCTGCATACACTGTGAGAGGTCCCAGCTGACTCCCCTTCTTCACCTCCTTTCTCCCTGCAGCAAATAGACCTAGACCATGCCATGAGGGAACCGTGTTCTCGTGAGCTCAGACTTCCCCTCTCTATGTGACTCAGAACCCCAAATGGCACCCAGAGTCCGTGTGGCTTCTCTCCCAGGTCTTTTCTCCCCAGAAGACCCCACTGTCTGATGCAGAGCCATAGTCCTAAGAAGTGGCTGTCGATGGTCATCAGAACTTGGCTGTGGGTCCTGGCGTATCCACACGTGCATTGGATTCCCAGTGGCGATCGGGCTCTGGGGTGGGCAGAGAATGACTCCAGGAGGAGCTGAGAACCTCTGCTGCTGCTCTTGCTCCAGGCTTGCTAATGCTAGATGGGAAAGAAAGCCCAAGAGTTCTGCTAGAGGTGAGCAAGGCCCAGTGTGGCCCAGGGGAGCTCTACAGAGCCTGTTCTGCTTCTATCTGGACACTCTCTCTTCCACACACTCTGTACCACATTTCCTTGCTATAATCCCCACGACATTTTGTCAAATAAATGATTTTCACTGGTGTCTACTCTTTGCAAAAATTAGGTATTCCATGAACACTGACCACTGGGGACAGTGTCTCAAATATCCACTTCAGAAATGCTACACTTCAGTACTTCTTGAACAGTGTGTCGCTTTCCTCTGTGTTTGCAGAAAAACGAGTTTATCGTTGCTGTGAGCATTCAGGCACTGTGGTGCCATTTTGCTTATTTCAGTCTGATGCAGTCCACTTCCTCAGTGGCAGGCATCCCTGTGGTCCTGAGGTCCAGGTCAGCGCTGGCCTTGTTCCCGCTGGGAGAAGCCCTCCACCGGAGCCGCAGGATCCTCTTGAGGTACTTACTGGTGTTGTTCCTGACCGACACGAAGCACAGCGTGTTGATCATGCTGTTGCTCATGGCGATGCACTCCACCACATAGAAGGCGGTGAGGTAGTGCTTCTCCTTCACAAACACGGAGGGGAAGAAGTCACGTACGATAGTGAAGCCGTAGAAGGGCGCCCAGCATAGGACATAGGCTGAGAGGACGCACACGAGCCCCAGCACGGTCCTGCGGCGGCAGCGCAGCCTCCGGCGGATCTGCTCCGTCTGGAAGCCAGGCATCGCCTTGAACCAGAGCTCCCGGGACACCCTGGCATAGCACAGGGTCATGGCGACCACAGGGCCCACGAACTCAAGGCCGAAGATCAAGAGGAAGTAGGACCTGTAGTAGAACTGCTGGTCTACTGGCCAGATCTGGCCACAGAAGATCTTCTCCTGACTCTCCACGATGACCAGCACGGTCTCCGTGGTGAAGTAGGCAGCAGGGATGGCGATGAGGATGGACACGGACCACACCAGGAAGATGAGGCCCGCAGCTGTTTGACACTTCATTCGCGGTCTCAGCGGGTGCACTATGGCCAGGTACCTGGGCAAGAACAGAAGAGGAGTCAGCCGCGGAAGGAGCCTGCTTGTGATACTGATGTCACCTGAGGGAGACGCACAGGACGGGCCCTGTAGCAAGCCTCAGTTTCACCTCTAACTACTTCCCCCAGCTCAGCCTTCTCATCTGCCCAAGTATTTGGGTGGTTTAAAGATGAAATGAGATAATGAATGCAATATTCCTAGCTAAGTTTTAAATCTGACATATACTGGGGAAAATGACTTTTAAATGTAGTATAGTTCCCATGGGTCTCTGGCTAGGCACCGGTCCATCATATCTCCTAAAGCCTGCAAGGTTCAAAGTTAAGAAGGCCTGACGACTTCAACTTGAATTAGTTGATAGGAAAAACCACCCTTTCCAACCAAAGCATGGCCCAAGGTTTTGTTTTCATTCCAAGTTTTAAAAAGGATTGTTCTGCATGCAGAGAGGAAAAGTGTATTTACCTCATTTTCCACCTGGAAAGATACAGGCCGCTGAAAAATGAGGAACTTTCTCAAGGTTACATAACACAAGACCCTTGACAGAAAACATTTAGACCCCCATCTTACAGGGCTGATGTGAAAATCAATTAGCATATACATGGTTGTTTTTTTTTTTAAACCACAAAGCATCAGGCAGTAAAAGACGCTGCTTTTGTTCTCTCCTGAAGAGGCTACACTGTTACCACAGAGGTCCAGGAAGCAGAGAGCACTTCATGAGGCTATGAGTCACCCGGGTGCCCAATGGAACACTTCCCAGAGTGCACATTTGTGCGGAGAGCTCCGGCTTTCCGGAAGTCTTTGCGCAGCTGGCATGGTTAGAAGAAGGATGGGAGTGGAGTGGAAAGGACTGACCAACGCAGGAAACAAACTCTTTTATGTCCAGGGCTGAGCCCAGGCAGAGTCGATAGCAATGTGACAGGGCCCTGCAGGAGAGCCAGGTCAATTTTGCTCCCTTGCAGACTACCCCTTTGAAGTCGTCTTTCTTGGGACTTTGATCTGAAGAAAGAACCCTTCTTGTGCTTTTCTGGTTGAATTTCACAGGTAATCATCCCATGCTGGGCAAACCTGGAGGATCCTGAAGTGAGACTCCTGTGCTCCTCCAGTTCCCAGGAGTCTGAAGAAGCTGGATAGAGCGTGATTACCCTCTGGACACCCCAGATGGCTGCTACTGGCCACCAACATGCATCTCTGGGACTCTAGGAAACTCCTTAGTGCTGGAAAACGAACAGAATCAAGTGCACTGTCGGCACTGTGCATACGTGGGCCCTTCATCGCAGCCGTCATGTTGGCTGAAGTGTGGCTTGGTGGTAGAGTACTTGTCCAGCATGCAGAGGGTCTTAGGGTCACATCACACACACACACACACACACACACACACACACACACACACACATACACATACACACACACCATCTTTTAGTTACAGAATTATGATTAAAATACTCTGACAAAAACATCTTAAGAAAAAAAGGGCTTATTTTGCCTCACAGTTTGAGGCAAGTACATTTTGCTACAGTCCATCCTGGCAGGGAAGTCATGGCAGGAGCTTGAAGCAACTGGTCACACACATCACATCCACAGTCAGTAGTGATGAATGCCAGCGCTCTCCCTGTGTTAGCCATTTTATACAGTTGACCCTCACCCAGGCAGAGATCTCGCCCAGTTAACGCTGCCATCACTGATACACAACCCAGCAGGAAACGTGCAGAAAACTACTCCAGATTTCCATCAGCCTTGGCTCTGGAACTCTATATTAGAACGAAGTTTACCATAGCAAGTCCATACTTTCATTTAGGTCATCTCAATCCTGCTGAAGGAAAGAGAGAGCAAAGATGCCCATTTGCTGGAGCAGCCAGCTGAAGCATGAAGAAATGCAAGGACACGTCAAAGGCTGCACAGCTCGCTGGCCCACATCTTTCCATACGCCCCATGTTCTCTCTACGATGCCATTTGCTACCTCCCTAACAGCAGGGTGGGGCATGCTCCCTTCTCCCTGGCCTTCACCAAATCCTAGCAGCCTATCTCTTTTCTCTCTACCGCAGACTTGTTTTCTACCTACACTGTCCCTTGAGGCAGTCAGACCACTGGCAGCAAGTTTTCCCTCTCGATGAGCATGGCTTCACTTGCTCTGTGCCCGTAGCTACAGTGATTTAGGTTCAGATCCTCTCAAAGTCAGCAGTTCCCAGAGAATTAGCAAATAAAGGCTACCAGGGTGCAGGGTGGCATGATTAACCATGGGCTGGGTGTTTCAGCAGAGTCTGGGACCCATGTCTAAGGTCTAAGGCCCCCATCTAAGGTCTCACATGAGAATGGCAGTTGTAGCAGCTACCAGGCTGGCCATGACGTGGGTAACGGACCCCCAGCCGATGAACTGACTCGTCAGGGGCATCTGTGCTTTCTGATCGTGGACAACACGACTCAACACCAGGAGACACATACCCTGGCTGGTTTCCTCAGCCCTCCAGGACGGGGGAAGAGGAGTCGCCCAGCATTTCATAAGCGGCAGACCAGAATGTTACAGACACCTCAACACACATCAAAGTGGAGGCCCAGAGGTCCTGCCCAAGGGCTGGGGTGGGGGAGGGGACCTCTTACAGGATCTTGCCAGCTCCTTCAGGTTGTCATCGTCTGGTGGATTTTTATATCTTCTGAAATATGACCCCATCTTTTTTGATCATGACTCTGAAGACTCAGTCCCTGGTCCACATGCTTTCCCACGGCTCTGCAGTCACCGGGAGGACCCACCACCTGACTTCCTTGAGCGCTGTCTTGGCCATCAGAAGACCTGCTATTGATCATCTGTTGATGACCACATCAAAGTCTGCCTCCTCTGCACCACCTCTTTTGCCCACTGCACCCTGCTCTTCTCCAAACGTCATTGTAAACGCCTCCCTGGCTTGTTAACTTAGCCGTTTTCGTCAGTATCCATTCCTTGCCTCGAGTGATCTTGTCTGCATCTCTTCTCACTCTTGCCGTCTGTGGGTTTGCAGCACCTAGATTAATGTTTATAAAGCTTTACCCCCTGTCAGTGGTTTGGTACTAGGTGAAAAGAAACTTGTCAAAAAGATGACAATCATTTTTGGGAAAAGGGACAAAAGTGTGTTTACTTCACCTGAGCCTGTGATGCAGTGTGGGGCCAAGCAATAAAACGCTGGAAACGCAGTGTGAGAGCCGGGGCTGAACTCTGCAGAAAGGTGTGGCTCAGCCAGGCATGCTGCTTTGGACAAGACATTCACTCCAGTCCTCAGCATGCAAGGTTCAGAATATGTATCAGTTATTTCAGAAAGAACCCAGAGTTACGTTCAAGAGTTGGTGGGCTTCAGCCTTGCTTACCTGCCTTAAACGTCAAAGCCATCTCTCTGCTCCTGGAACCGTCAAGTCTGTCCCTGCCTCGAGGCTTTTGGGGCTGACAAGTCCCTTTATCAGAGACACTGTCTCTCAGTCCTCACAAAGTGAACCTTCCGTGTCACTCCTGGGTCATGTGACTGCCGTCTCAGAGACACCTCTCCTGACTCGTCCACCCTATCTCTCCTACTCCGCCACCCTCGATGTCTCTGCTGGGGTGTCTCCTGTTGTTGTCGTTGTTGTTGTTCTGTGTTGCTCACTTCTGAAATCACCTTCCGTCGTTCTTTGCCTGACAGAGAGCTCTCTTCCTCCCTTTGGTGTAGCTTTGTCAGGGGCCAGTGCTACCTTCTGCTCTCCACCGTAATCCCCAGCCTTTGGAACAGGCTCCGACACGGAGCAGACACTCTACGAAGGAAAGAACGTGTGCGTGCAAGAGTGAAGGAAAGCTAGGGTGGATCTAACGGGGCAGTGGGGCAGAACCAAGAGACACTATAAGCAGAAGACTAAAGGCAGATGAAGGCTAGACCACCCAGCCCAGTGAGCTTCCGAAGGGACAAGTGTGACCAGGACATCCGGCCAAATGCTCTAGAACGGAGAGACTGGCCAGGAGGAGAGAAACTTTCCAGCCTTGGTGCCTAGGAAGAGAGTGAAAGCAAGAACAGAAGCGCTAAGTCCAGGCTGGCAGAAAGTAAACTGTACTGTGAGACAGTGCTTTGTAGCCAGCTTCTAAACCTTATACTGTGATTCGTGTATCATAAAAATGATTCCCAGCCCACTCAAACAGTCAGTTTATTCAGTTTTGCTGTCACTTATGGTCTTCTTAATATTGACTTGAGAACCATGATATCCACTCCTTATCCCGTGCTTGTGCTGACTTCTTATTATTCTGTCCCAGCACGGCAGCACACCCCCGTAGTTCAAGCATTCTGATGCATGGGGCAGAAGAATTGTGAGTTTAAAGCCATCCTTAGCGTTACAGTGAGACCCAGTCTCAAAATACCAAGACAGAAAAAGAAAATGCCTGTATTATAGATATGATTTCATTCAATCGTCAGAACAACCGAGTACATGAGATTCCCTTACCATCCTCAAAGCCGGAGGCAGGAAGAGGGCAGAGAACCAAAACCAGGGAAAGCCCCACCATGCGGGGAGGGGCCTCCACCAACAGACTCAAGTCAAGTACATACTAACAGTTCCTGTAGAAATTTCACTAAACAAAATAAAGGCATTCTAGCAGCAGGGTGTCTATCGGCTATAAGAGATGAGAATGTAGTTGGCCCGAGCTAGGAAGACCAAACCTGAAATATCACTGGGTTTTGAACAGCTCACAAAGAAAAAAAAAATTAATGATGAATGAACCACAAAACTGAAATTAGATGATAGCATCATCGTAAAATAAAAACCACCTGGGGCAAGGCCTTCAAATGTCAACTTAAACAGCAAAAACTTAACGTGTCGGGGCAGTGAGTCACCTAAGACTAAGGGAGGCCTAGGCCAGCACCTGGGGCTTTCTCCCACGTACGTGTGCAAATGTCCAATCAGAAGCCCACTCCAAGCACCAGCAGCCCTCCCCAGAGCAGAGCATGACTGGATTCATCCTTCTCAGTGTGCCTGGCTTGCACTGTGCAGGAGACAGATGCCATGTTTCAAAGCAGCTGATGGTGGGAAGATGGGATACGCTTGGGCTGTATTGAGGATCCTGTCCTGTATCGTGGTTGATCAATATCGCTGTCGGGAGTAGCTCCGTGCTCCTGGCTTCTTTCCCGCACAGTTGTTAGCCCCCTCCGTGGTGCATGGATCTCATGCAGAAGCAGGACTCTGTCGCAGCAGGCTCCCATCTATCCAACTTCTAGCGGTCAAGAACATCTCCTGGGTAAAGCCGTGTCCCTAATGTGAAAGTCCAGGAAATGAGCCCGTCTGTTTTGTCCTGTGCTAAGAGACAAGGCAGCGTTTCCATCCTCAGGGGATGCTTGCGACAAAGCTACAGGAGCCTGACCTGGGCAGCTCTGAGAGTCACTTGGGAAGCAGAAAGCCTGGTTGATGCTATCCTCGGCTAGGGTTATTTGGATTCCTTAAGCAAGTGTGCAAATGTCCCAAGGTTGCTGACTTGTATTGAGGACCTCAACAGACCTGTTATGGGTGACAGACCAAGGGGCCATCAGCTGTTGACTCTCTGACATCCTTCTCTGGAGAAGGAAGACAGGAGCCCTGCACCTCAGTGGTCTTCACGCCAGGCTCTTTGGTGTCCCCGCCTTAAAAACTGCCTTTCACAGGCCATGCTACCCCCAGCTGTATTGCCAGAAAACTTGCTTGGTTGCTCTGACTTGGAGCCCAAGTCAAACACCCCGGAGCCCTGAGGCCATGGAACAAGGAGAGCCTGTGCCTTAGGCTCCCTGGATGAGGAGGAGAGCAAGCTGTGTCAAGGAACGTGGAAGCCTGACCAGCCCCTCAGGGTAGCTTCCGGAGACCATAACAAGGTGCTTTGTACTTCAAGGCAAATGCACCAAGAGGCTTGCAAAGACTCCCTGAAACCAAGGTGATCCTGGCTCATTAGCACCAGTTCATACCAAGGAAAACATCCCAGAATAAGAAAGACATGCAGAGGTTGCTCCCACTGAGCTCATACCCCGTCACTAGAGAAGGTCTTGTACTGTGACATGATGGGTAGGAAGTGAGGTGGGGTCAAGACAACACTAACAAAAAAAAGTAAGCAATCACCTGTTTTTTTTCTGGTCACCTCCCCCCCACACACACACACAGCTTTTTTATTCAAAACAACTCCCTTGATCTTATTTAAAAACCAGTTAGTACTGGGAGATCATAGTTAATAGAGGAAATCTAGATGAGATGGGGAAGTCCCTCCAGATTTTCATGTTCACATAAGAAGTAACTCCTTATAACTTAGCCCCGTCCCTCAACGCTTCTTCCTACCTGTCTAAGCTGTGATTGGGCTTATCTGGGAGGACATCCACAGACAGAGAGCAAAGACTTTCCTACTGCCCAGCCCCAGGCCTAGCTGCCTCCAGCCCTGCCTAAGGTAAGATGTTCAGTCAGTGAGCTTTTGAGTGCCTATGGGTGCCATTTATGAAAACGACAGATGCATGCCATCAGCACGCAACTACAGGAAAGAAAGGGACCAAGGCAACACCCTTGCTCAGTGTCCATCTTTGTGGCACTCACCTGTCAATGGCAATGGCCAGCAGGGCATTAGTGGAGACATAGAGGGAGACAGTACGCAGGTAGTTGACAGAGGCACACAGGACATGACCGTGCTCCCAGGAGAGCTGACGCACCACATAGTAGTCCATCTCAAAGGGGCAGCACACGATGGCCACTAGGAAATCCGAGATGGCCAGGTTGGCAATAAGGAGGTTGGTGAGATTGCGAAGCTTTTTGTAGCGGGCCAGGGTAATGATAAAGATGAAGTTGCCAATGCCACACACCAGCATGATACCCACCAAAGCCATGCCAATGACAATCTTGGCAGCAAAGAAAGTCCGAGACTTGGTCACATCCTCCTCTTCATCCGAGGGCATGTCATAGTCACCATAGCTGAAAGTGAACGGGAAGGAAGCAGCTTGGGCTCCGTGGGCATCAAATGCAGAAAGGAAGTTGGTGGAAGCGTCTGTGGTATTCTCACCCAGAGCCCCCACGGTGGTCTCCGTCCAGGCAGGTGGTGCCATGAATACCACCGGGAGCTGTCCCAGAGCGGTGTCTCCGAGGCTCTTGGTTCTTCCTGGGTGAGTCAGATCTTCCTAACCAGCATCTGAGGAACACAGGATCGGAGCTCCATTTTAAACATTTGAAAGAAGAACACAAGGTCGGGGACGTGTTGGAGAGAATATGGGTAAGTTTAAAATCATCCTGAAACCTATGCAGGTCCATTAGCCACCTGCTCACCGTACACACAGATAATGGAGTGGAAGAAAGGGGCTGGGGAGAGAACACGAGAGAATGGAAACCACATTTCCACTCAGCTGGGGAAGGTGGTGGGGGAACTGGGGAGACAGACTGTAACTCCATTTATTTCCACTCCAATGGAGCCCAAAAACCTGTGCTCTTCCTCAAAGACCAAAGCCGTGAGTGTGGAAAGGCAGAACAGAGAGGTAGCCGGCTCCAAACCCCAATCCCTAGCTGACAGGCTGAACTCTAGCCTTGTGGAACAGTCCCACTCTGTAGCAACAATAGCTGCTTTTCACATCTGGGAAAAAAAATGACATGCCATGGGGTCTGCAAAACACACCTGTAAAATCAGAGCCCTGAACATGGAACCCTCTACAGGGAACTGAACGTGGAGCCCACCAGCAGCCACGTCTCCTCACCAAGATTCCTGTTCCTGCTGGGCCTCTAGAAGGTTGGCACATTGCGTGCCAAGGCTTGCCCTAGGCAGTGGTCGCAGGGGCACAATCACAGGCTGTCACTCAACCTAGAGGGTTAGAATGAAAACCTGAGGGCAAAATCCCTGATTGAGCGGTGTGTCCTCCAGTTAATAGCTTAAACACACAGGGTTTTAACATCCTTCAGGCAGATCAATACTGTCTGTAAAGCTCAGAGCTGTTGGAGAGGCAGAGGTAGGTTCCAGAACCACGGGAGTCAGAACTCAGCCCTTTAGGCCAGCTCTAAGGAAAGGAGGGAACCATGAATCAGAGACCAGCATCCCACAGGCCCCACAGGCAGGACAGGGGAGAAGGCCTGTCAGTAGCGAATCTCTTATCTCCCCCCTCCCCCCCCCCCCGGCGACCCCTTTCGCCCCCTTCCCAACATGAAGACATCAGACCAGGGAACTGGATCTGGGAGAGGACTGGGGTATGGAAAGTACCCTAAATGTCAGAAGGGAAGAAAATAGCCAAATCTGAGATCCTGAAAAAGGGAAAAAGTAAATTGTCCCCAAGACAGATGATCCCCATCCCCGTACCCTCCCCACTCCCCATGTGCTGCCAGAAATTCTTCTCTCCAGAAGCAAGAAGAGACAAGCTAAAGTCCCTCAACACCCCAGGAGGCTCGCCCCACTTGCTCTATTTCACAGCTCTTCAGGGAGTTTTGTCCTTCTCTCTTGGCCAGCTCAGTCCCCAGCTTTGCTCCTATCAAATAAGAGGCAGAACCCGGAGCTGAGAGTGCAGTGGAGCCCAAGCACATCCCTTCCTAGGGGTGCCCCATAAGCTCGAAGCCAGCACTGCTCTAAGTCAGGATGTAAAGAAAGCGTCCAGAAACACCTAAGGGAGAGGAGATAGAAGGTTGGAGGATTTGTCTCATGGTCTTTCCTGGAATTGTCCTCAGCTCTGTGGAGAAGCCTACTAACCATTGTTGTTGGCTGCTGGGGCTTCAGTCCTGAGGGACCCTCTCCTGCTTCACCTAAGTCTGAGTCGGGAGCAGCCTGGGCTCCCTCCACTCCCTAAGCACGGTTCTCTGAGCGTCTCCGGGGTTGTCGGTACCTGAGGACCAGGGCGAAGACCAGACGCTCCTCGGGAGCTCTGCAGCAAGGGAAAGGAGCTCCTCTGTCTTCTGAGGGTCTTTGCAGGCTCCGGAGGCAGTTGTGTTCCTGCAACCCCTGCGGACGCACAAGAGCTGCGGCTGAGACTAGCCAGCCCCGCCCACAGCGCGCTGACCCCGCCCCAGCCGATGTTCCTGCCCATAGTCAGTGATCTCCCTCTCGTGCCCGCTGTTCCCGCCGCGCGCTCACCTTCTTGTCCCCTCTGTCCCCACCCCTCACTCACGACCCCCCACCCTGGAGATCTCTGAGCTCCGAGATGGGCCCGAGTCGACTAGAGCTGAGCCTGCTGAAGTGTCTGGACGCAGAGGGGGTGACTCTGGGTGTCCCGCACAGGGAGAGCAGGTTGTGCCTGCCTTGAGCACTGAGCACCTCGGGGTCACCTGTCTGCCTCATTGCCGCCCAAGTGGGTGGGCGGGCTGGTCACGGGAGCTTGGCGCCTTCAAAGGACAGAAAATCTCTTCCCCAGCTACTCTGCCTGAGGACCCGGGACAGCTCAGACCTCACCCTTGGGCTCTCCTCTGAGGCCCTCAGCTGAGCACATTGCTGGGTTCTAAAGGCTCTCTGGAGAGTGGGCACAGGAAGGAAGGCTTTACGCCCATACCTGGTCTGGTCCCCAAATGTTAAATACGAATCACTACACAGTCAGCAATCCCATCTAAAATATAAGACTGCAGAAACGACCCAAAGCAGCAATTTAGGTATTAGGGTACCCTAATAGCCAGCAACACGATTCACTGTTATCAAAGGGCAGAAACAACCCAAATGTCCATCAATTGATACAAGAAAAACAAAGGAGGATGCATTTTGTTGAATACTACTAAACTTTCAATTTGAGTGAACTGTAACAGGTTTAACCCTCCTGGGCACTGGTGAAGGTGTAAAATGAAATAACAGTCATGGGAAACAGTAATAGGTAGGTAGGTAGGTAGGGAGAGAGAGAGAGAGAGAGAGAGAGAGAGAGAGAGAGAGAGAGAGAAAAGATAGAAAGAAGATAGATAGATAGATAGATAGAAGATAGATAGATAGATAGATAGATAGATAGATAGAAGATAGATAGATGATAGATAGAAGATAGATAGATAGATAGATAGATAGATAGATAGATAGATAGATAGATAGATAGATAGACAGACTTTTCTTAATATCCAGCATTTCCACTCCTAGGTGTTACCTTAAGATCAGATATATGCAAGTTCTCAAAGAGATGTTTGCATACCCTGTTCATAGCAGTGGGTCACACTGGAGACACCTGTATTAATTATCTTCCTCGTTGCTGTAGCCAACACTGGGTAAAAGCAGCTTGACAAAGCCAGGGTTAGTTTGGCTCCAGTTGTAAGAAGGGATACAGTTCATCACAGCAGGGAAGGCGTGGCAATGGGAGCACAAGGCGACTGGTTGAGCTGTGCCTGCTGTTGGGAAGCAGAGAGAGACGAAATGTCCTACTAGCCGTCTCCTTGCTCTCAGCCTGTGGAGTGATGCTGCCTACGTTCAGGTTTGGTCTTCCCTCCTTAGTTTAAACTTCTCTGAACATATCCTCACAGACATGCCCAGCTTTGTCTCTTAGGTAATTCTAAGTTCCATCAGGATAATAACAAGAGTAAGCCCCCAGGAGACTACCCTTCGTCAACTTGATGCCCAAATATATCGCCTTAAAATTGTAATACTCCACGCTTGGCTCTCAGAGGCTCATGGCCGTCTCAGAAAATAGACTGCATTACTCTGGCTCCCGCAGCCCTCACCGTCCTTAACATCCCAGGAGCGAGTCTCTCCTAAGACTCGAGCAGCCCCTTTATTGTGAGCTCCTGTCTTTGTTTTTTAAGTTGTATATTTCTAATTTACATTGGCTTAGGATAAACATATCCATTCCCAAAGAGAAGAACAGTAACAGTAAAGAAAGATAGGCTAACACTCAGAAGAGCAAACGCCAAACTTTGCAGACCCATGTCCAGTCTCTGGACTTGTGTCCGTTACCAATGGGCAGAGGCAGCTGTGCAGCTGTTCTTGGTTGCCAACTTGACTACTTCTGGAATTAACTAAGAACTCGAGCCTTTGGGCACACCTTTGATGGATGATGGATTTTAAATTAATTGGATAAGTTAGCTCGGAAGACCCATCTTAAATCCAGATCAACTGAAGTGGAAAGGTTCCCTCCCCCATTCCTGGTATACAATCTGTATTAGTCAGGTTTCTCTAGAGCTGTGGTTCTTACCTTTCTAATGCAGCGACCCTTCAATATATGCTGCGGGGATGCCCAACCATAAAATTGTGCTTCTACTACGTAACTGTAATTTTGTTACTACTATGAATCGTAGTAAATATTTCTGAAGATAGAGAGGTTTACCAAAGGAATTGCACACTACAGGTTGAGAACCACTGCTCTAGAGGCCTAGAACTGATAGAATGAATCTCTATCCATATGGGGAGGGGCCATTGTCAGAGTGACTTACAGACTGTGGTCCAGCTGTTCAACAACGACTGTCTCCTAACAGAAAGGCCAAGAATCCAGTAGTTGTTCAGTCCATGAGGCTGGATGTCTCAGCTGGCCTTCAGTGTACACCAGAATCCCGAAGAAGCGGGCTCTAATGCCAATATAGCTAGAGCAAGGGCAAACAAGTAAAGAGCAAAAGCCCCTTTCTTCCTTGTCCTTTATGTAAGCTGCCACAAGAAGATGGGTCTTCTGACCTCAGATAGTTCATATTTAAGGTGAGTCTTCCCACCTCAAGTCATCTGGAATTGAGGGCGCTCTTCTAGCTCAAGTGACCCAATTGACTAAAAATCCCTCACAGGTGTGACCAGAAACATAGGTTTTTAGTTAATTTCAGATACAGGCAAGTTGACAAGCAGCATCCCTACTTCTCCAGTTCTGTCACCGGTAACATATGTAGACTCTCTTGGTGTCACCGGTAACATATGTAGACTCTTTTGGTGTCACCTGTAACATATGTAGACTCTCTTGGTGTCACTTGTAACATATGTAGACTCTCTTGGTCCAGCTCCGCTCCATTCCAAAGTTTTTCTTAGTGATAGTTCATGGTCCAGGCATCTCAAGCATCCTGGAGTCACTGTTGAAACTTGAACTTGACATTCATATCTGCACGCAGTGGCCTCTCAGAGTATTCAATGCAGCTGCATGTTACCTGGGCCTCAGTGGTTTCTGAGGCTTTCATGGAAGTCTGCATGACCTTACATGTCCGTAAAGCCAGCACCAAGAGGATGACATAGTCAAGTCCTGCTGCCAGTTCCAGATGCAGTGTGCCTGCCTTGTGCAGCAGCTACAGTGATTTCTATACACATTAGCTGCCAGGCCTGAAAAAGCCCCTCCCTAGACAGCTGGTGGTTGTTTGCAAACGGAGCATCTCTGGTGACATTTTCAGGCTCTCCTCTTGCAAGTGAATTAACATCTTCCCAAGTTTGAGACTTTGATGGGTGGGGTCTTGTCCTGAGGGCACCTTTCCTATTGTTCAAACACAGAGCACAAGGACTATGTTTATCTCTAACAATTGCAGATACTTTTACTGTACCCTCCTGTTGTGGAATATTAGTTGAAGGTGTGATATATTTGTTTATGCTGTGGAACATTTATTTAATGATGCAAAGACATGTTTCATTCTTTTATGATGCATTTGTTTAACTCCATGAAACTATGTTACTTTGCCTCTCTAAAAAACACCTGATTGGTCTAATAAAGAGATGAGCATCCAATAGATAGGTAGGAGAAAGGATAGGTGGGGCTGGCAGGCAGAGAGAAAAAATAAGAGGAGAAATCTGGGAGGTAAGACGGAGGAGTAAGAAGAGGAGAACATCAGGATCCAGCCACCCAGCTACACAACCAGAGAGAGAGAGAGAGAGAGAGAGAGAGAGAGAGAGAGAGAAAGAAAGAGAAAGAAAGAGAAGGGGAGGGAGAAAGAAAGATATATAGAATAGAAAAGGATAAAAGCCCTGAGGCAAATGTAGACAGGATAATTTAAGAAAGGCTAGCAAGAAACAAACCAAGCTAAGTCTGGACTTTCTTAAGTAAGAATTAAGTCTCCATGCATGTGATTATTTGGGAGTTGGGTGGCAGGTCCCCAAAAGAGCCAAAAGAGTAAAATCCAACCAACCACACCCTCCTTGTCTGTAACTTTAATCTCTGCTCTCTCTATATACAGTTCTGAACTAGAGACATTAGCAGTAACCAGGCCATAGCCCAAATGCTATGCTGTCATCAAAATTCTGCTGCCAAAGAAATTGGCTCGTTGTTTATGAATTTAGTCTCACTCAAATTCTCAGGGTATGGACAGAATGTATCATGAACATTCTAGTGCTGTGGGACAATGATTTTACCCTGTGAAGATTTGTTTCTTGAACTTGTTTAATAAAACTCTGATTGACCAGTAGCCAGGCAGGAAGTTAGGCAAGGCAATCAGACAGTAAGTAGAGGCAGGGCAATGAGAACAGGAGAATTCTGGGAAGAGGAAAGCTCAGTCTGCAATCGTCACCCAGATGCAGAGGAAGGAAGATCAGAATGCCTCACTGATAAAGGTACCAAGTCACGTGGTTAAAATAGACAAGAATAATGGGCCAATTTAAGATGTAAGAATTAGTTCATAAGAAGCCTGGGCTAATAGGGCAACCAGTTTATAATTAATGTAGACCTTTGTGTGTTTCTTTGAAACTGAATGACTGCAGGACTGGGCTGGACAGAAATCTCTGCCAACAGCCTATAGCCTGGTTCCTCAGAGTGTCCTTGCTCTCCACTGAACTCTCATAATCCAAGTCTCCACTATTCACATGTCTGTTAGCATGCTGGGCTCCCAAACTCGCACCAGAATAATCCAGTCAGGACTGTTTACAACACTCTAGAGCTCCTCTAAGCCACAGGTTCAAACTCTTCCAAATCCTTCTCACAAAATCGATTCAAAGCATGGGATCCAACAGCAACACCTCCCACTTCAGTGCCAGTTTTCAATCCAAGTGCATAGGAAGAAGGATGAATAACAAAAGATACATGATAGATAGATAGATAGATAGATAGATAGATAGATAGATAGATAGAT